GTGGCCCGGTGATGGTGCCAAGGGGCCGTGCCACCCTCACTATCACCACCACTGCCTCCCCTCACTGTCACCATTCATACCCATCGTTACAATATCGTCATCTTCACTATCAGGTCGTGGTGTTGGGCCACGGATGTGCTCCCAGAGTTTCTCCTTCCCCTTGGAACAACATATGAAACACTACCAGACCGCATGCTACGTCGTACATACTGGCGCTTCACTGGGGAATATTCACTCTCACTGTTCACTAGAACTGCTTTTAATGACCTTGAAATCACTATCACTATCACTGCTATCATCAGGGTGTTGTACACGACCAAATAGTTTCCTCTTTCGTCCTGGTACAGGCGAACGTGAACGTGAACAAGCCGGCACAGCACCAGAGGTCGAAGGTTGTGGGTCATCTGGGTTTTCGTCACTATTTACGTTATCCTGGGCACTTTTTTCGTAACACTCACTTGAAAACCCTTGAATTCACTGTCACTGACACTTTCATCGCTGTTAGAGCTATCACTTGGGAACAAAAGACCTCCAATCCGCCGAGGAGTGAGGAACTTCTTACCGAGAGGCATGGTGAAAATGGACTGACAACATGGCGTTCCCACAATGCACCGCTAGGTCCCAGATTTTTTCACAGGGTGCACACCGACCACTGAGACCCATTCTCTCCCGTGTAGGCCTACCAGCCTTTGGCGCTCGATTTGAAGCCGCTAGAATTTGTGCGTATAAATACGTCAGAAACATTGGCTCGTAAGACGTATTTATACGTCGGAAACAGTCAAAGGGTTAATGTAATAATAATAGGCTTACCTGGCATTGTCCTGTAGTTTCCCGGCGTTTTCTTGTATGTTTTGCTTTACTTGCCACTTTCTGAAAAGTAATGTTTCCATTATCACTTCCATTGAAACTGTTCAACCTCATTTTCTCACTTTCGCTTTCAATGAAATTCTTTATAATGGCTTTTATGTGATCAGCTTCTTTAAATCGTTGAATACCAGACTCATGAACACACACTACAGGCTGTGGGCTAGGCCTAAGGTCCTGCTGACCGATGTATATTGTGCCTTCTCGTGGGCTGCTTATTCCAAATTCCACTGAAAACTCTGAAAAGTCCAGCAGCCAGTCAGTCAAGTATTTTGTCACATCAGCTACCCACCATTCTCCTGTAACTGAACTGATCTTACTTTTTTCCAAGTTAAATATTTTTTCTTCCCCCACATGCATAGAAGAACTCTGAATAACGTTTTTGAGAAAGGAAATGTTATAGGTAATTTTGGAGCTGTTCTGCAAATGTAGAATTAGTTTGCAGTTTTCAACAGAGGTGTGTAATAAGATGTCAACTTTTGGTTGTGTCTTGTATCGCTGGATCCACTTGAAGTGCCAGATTTGATTATCTGGCGTAGTGTTATCTGAAAAAAAAAAACATACAAAAAAGTTATTTTCAACTTGGCGACAGATGCATTTTATCATACACACGAAAACATGCATACCATATGAACACATGTATACCACATGAAACCAACACATGTACCCGAAAATATACTACATCTGGAGTTTACCTGAGAGGGTTTCGGGGTCAAAGCTCCCCACGGCCTGGTCTGTGTCCAGGGCTCATGATTATCCAGGCTGCTAGTGCTGGCCGCACGTAAACCGACGTACAAACCACAGCCCGGCTGATCAGGTACTGATTTTAGGTGCCTGTCCAGCACCACACGGTAACATAGTCCACACAAAACCATACATACAACGTGAAGTCATTCATACCACGAAAAATACACACCAAATACGTAATACGTAAAAACATACCTACACACAAGCACATAAGAACATACATACCACACACCCACTTTTTTTTATATAGCACATGCGTAAACTCACACTTATTAGGCTGATGTATGACGAGTGTGTGCGAGTGGTAAAAGTGTTAGTGCAGGCAGGAGAGATGCAGTCTGATGCCACACTTGATACGTCCATTCTGATAACTTCACTGAGCCATCTTCACTCGCATCATTCATTGCCTGTTGAGAAATTCGACATAAAATAAGGTCTCACACGAATCCATGCAGAAAACCATATCTGTATGCAAAACCATAAAATGGGAAGGGGAGTGAGGAGAAGACCTTGATGCTGGTGAAAAGTTCTCGATGGTAAGTAGCTATTGGAACTGTCTTCCACTCCTCAGATTTAACCTAATTACCTCGCCTACGGGTTTAGTGCTTACCCGTTAATATTATAATGAATGCAAGAAGCTCTATCATAAAATTTTTAATGAAATTAACAAAGGACTATTCATTACCTCTAGGTTAAATATCAACGGTGTATATAATAAAAAAAAACATCGTATATGTTGAAAAATTAATACAACATTGCATTGAAATGATGAAATCTGACTCTCTATGTAGTATATTTATTAGTGTCCCACAGGGAAGTGTCCTTGGCCTTCTTCTCTTTCTCATTTACATAAACGACCTACCAAATGCATCGCAACTATTCAAACCCACACTATTTGCAGATGACACTACATACGTCTTCTCTCACCCAAGCCCAGTCATGCTAGCCAATACTGTAAATACCGAATTACAGAAAATATCTACCTGGATGATGATTAACAAACTTACTCCCAATATTAACAAAACCTTCTTCATACAGTTTGGAAACAGAACCACAGATGTCCCTCTTAGCATAATGATAAATGGATCACATATCACAAAGCTCACAGAGGGAAAATTCTTAGGAATCCATCTTGATAATAGACTCAAATTTCAAACACATATACAACACATTTCCAAGAAAATCTCCAAGACCGTAGGCATACTATCGAAGATACGGAACTATGTTCCACAGTAGCCCTCCTGGCCCTATATCACTCACTCATTTACCCCTATCTCATCTATGGAATTGTGCATGGGGCTCAACAACAATAACTATCTCAGACCATTAATTACCCAACAAAAGGCTGCAGTCAGAATGATAACAAATTCCCACTACAGGCAGCATACTCCACCAATATTCAAAACTCTAAACTTACTCACCGACAAAACATCCATACTTATTATTGTACCTACTACATACATAGAACACTTAACTCGGATATAAACCCTCCCCTCAAACTTCTCCTTACCAACCTCAACAGAACACATGACCACATGAATGTTGAAGACAGAATAAAACAACTGAAGCTGAATCTTGTTTATAAAATGGCTCACAAACAGTGTCCAGAATATCTTGCTGTCAATTTGTCAAGGTTGGGAACCAAAGCAATCATAGCACTAGGGGGAGAGAGCACAACTTTGTAGTACCCACAGTCATTGGCCAGGCTTCAAACACCTTTTATTGTACAGCAATAAAGGAATGGAACAGACTAACCGCACACGTCAAAGCCAGTCATAGCATGAACCAGTTCAAGAAGAGTGCCAAAAGGTGTCTGATGATGTAGCTACAGAAAGGGAGGGAATGATTTTCTATTTTTTAGCTAACATACGTGTAAATTTTACCTTATTCCTAGTAATGATCCTCGTATTGTAGATAGTTTTAATGACCCTCGTGTAGTAATAGTCTTTTTAGTATGATAATAAATGTTATCTTCATTATAGAATAATAAGAAAATATTATAACCTTTATATTATAATAATAAGGTAAAAGGACCCCAATGGAAATAAGCCCACTCTGTCTGACTTTTTTTGGGTTATCCTAGGTTCTCTACACATATGCTGCTATGTATGATAATTCTATGTAACTGTATTTGTGTATACCTGAATAAACTTACTTACTTACTTACAAGGCACAGATCACTCTTTGATGTTCCTCGTGTCCATCTCACACTGTGTAAAAAAGCAATGCACATAAAAGGCCCAAAAATCCGGAATTCATTACCTGTAAATATAAAAGAAACACTGTCTGTTTATCAATTCAAGACTCTTAAAAACCACTTACTCACCCACAACTAAATAAATACTGATTTAACTGTATCTCAAACTATGTTTCTTGCAATTACATTACCTAATAGAATGCTCCATTCTCTTGAATGCTCAGTAACTCATCAAATGTGCTACAAACTTGTACAACTATAAAGCCTCTTATTTGAAATACTCATTTGTACTTCATGTTGTAATTTGTTACTGTATTTTTTACCACTGAATATGCCATTGCTTAGTTAATTTTAAGCCTGCCCACAATGCTCTGCATACAAGCGGCTTTTGGTATGCACACTCAACCACTGTACAGTGGTCCCTCGTTTTTCGTAGTTCTCGGCAATCGTAAATTTCGCCAATCATAGGGGGATTTTTGTAAAACATGGACTCGCTTTTCATAGGTTGACTCGCGAATAGTAGTTCGTCCAGGACGGGTACACACGGTGTGAGCCGGGGAGGCCTCCCTACCCAGCCAATCTGGCATTGTTTACCAGTGACTGAAGGTCCCCTCAAGTGCTCCTACGAAATATTTCATAATATTCCACTCATTTTAGTGCTTGCAAGTACTAAATAAGCTACCATGGCTCCAAAGAAAGCTCCTAGTGCCAAGCCTGTGGTAAAGAAGGTAAGAAATATGTACAGTGACAAAGTCTTAGGCCATTTTAGGGAAGTGTTAAAGAGACGCCAGAAACAGAGCTCTCTCCACAGTTACTTTGCGAGACAGGACTGGAGTGACTCTCAAGTGGTCTATGGCATTAAGAAACAGAGAAGAGAAGCAACCCCCAGAGAAGCAATTGGTACCTGAGGTGTTGCTGGTAAGGGGATTCCCCTTCCAAACTGTAAACAATCCAATCTCCTCCTCCAGTCTCCCATACACTAAGAAGAATCTCCAATAAAGGTAAGTGTTATGCTGTTAATGTTTCATTCATCATTTCCCATTGTATTGTTTATGTACTACATGTATATTTCATGTAAAAATTTTTTTTGTTTTAATACTTCCGAGTGTCAGAAACGGATTAATTGTATTTACATTATTTCTTATGGGAAAATTGATTCGCAAATCGTAAATTTCGTTTATAGTAGCTCCTTCAGGAACGGATTAATTACGAAAAACGAGGGACCACTGTATTTCTTTTGTACAACTATGTATCATGTCCAAATAATAATAAATAAATAAATAAAAGTGGTAGTAGGTTGGTAGACAGCAACCGCCCAGGGAGGTACTACCGTCCTGCCAAGTGAGTGCAAAATGAAAGCCTGTAATTTTTTACATGATGGTAGGATTGCTGGTGTCTTTTGTCTGTCTCATAAACATGAAAGATTTCAGGTACGTCTTGCTACTTCTACTTACACTTAGGTCACACTACACATACGTGTGCAAGCCTATATATACACACCCTTCGGGGTTTTTCTAATATTTTTCTTACAAGTTCTTGTTCTGTTTATTTCCTCTTACCTCCATGGGGAAGTGGAACAGAATTCTTCCTCCGTAAGCCATGCGTGTTGTAAGAGGCGACAAAAAATGCCAGTAGCAAGGGGCTATAACCCTTCTCCGAAATATATTACTAATTGAAAAGGAAAGCTTTCGTTTTTCCTTTTGGCCACCCGCCTCGGTGGGATACGGCCGGTGTGTTGAAAGGAAGGAAATAAAAGTGTTAGTGTCCAGTGTCAATGACTAAATAAATAAATAACAAAAAGGCACAATACCGTGACTGGAACGATACACAAATAACCCGCACATAAAAGACAGAAGCTTACGACGACGACGTTTGGGTCCGACTTGGACCATTGACAAAGTCACACTAACAGGGGGTGGAGCAGGACGGCTATATATAGGCAGGAAGAGGTGGAGGTAGTAGTATTGGTAGTAGTAGTAGTACAAGAATTGTATATAATACCGACAGGATGAAATGACACATGCACAACACCCGGGGCATCCCCACCGTAGACGTTTCGCCATCCAGCCAGCCACGATGGCGAAACGTCCACAACAAAGACAACCAGACGCCGCACATGTGTCTAATTTCATCAGTAGATGTATAGAAGAAGAAGAGGTAGTAGTAGGGGTTTGTGGTAGAAGTGGGAAATAAGGAAGACGAGCCAGTCAAATACAAAGAAGGGGAGCACTGCAAGAGAGCAGAAACCCACAGAGGGAGAGCAAGCGCACCGAGGTGCGTGAAAGGGAAGTGGTGAAAAAAAATAAAGAAGGAACAGAAACACGAGACGGGAGAGAGAAAGACAACCCAAGGAGAAAAGGAGAGAGGAAAGGGGGAAAAAGAGGAAAGAAGAAAAGAAGAAGAAGAAAAATGAGGATTCAGGTTAAGTCACGGTGTTCTGAAGTTTGGAGATTTTACAATGTAGTGGGAGAGGAAGGCATCTACAAGACAAGCCAGGGCTAAGGTTCATACAAGGAAAGTTGTGTATAAGAGAGGATTCAACTAAACGCCGTTTATTTTGAATCCTCTCTTATACACAACTTTCCTTGTATGAACCTTAGCCCTGGCTTCGTCTCTGTAGATGCCTTCCTCTCCCACTACATTGTAAAATGCTCCAAACTTCA